CACTCCCTAAGAAACTTCCAGCATGCTGATCTCCATCCCAGAGGTAGCTTCTGGGGAATTCAACCTGGGGCATTGCCGTTGACTTCTGTGGAAATCGATAAACAGAAACCTCATTAAATTGGAGTTGAGAGGCCAAAAGGGGGAGCTCTCACATCCTACCATGATTGCAGAGCCCAACAGGAAGGAGAGACTTCTCTTCTTGACTGGCAAGAAGCTCAGCCAATGAGAGATGTCACAGCTCAGCCAATGAAAAGCCACTACACTGCGAACTCCCAGTCTCCTCCAACAGACTCTTTGTTTACAATTTCCTCTATAAAAGAGTGTCTCCTCCCTTGCTGCGGGGCACTTGCACATGGCTCGCCAAGGTTGCAGACTCTGAACTGCAATTTTTTGCTGATCCCAAATAAACTCATTTTTGCTGGAGAAATAACTGGCTATTTGTTTAAGGTCAGCATTCTCTGCTATAGTAGATGAGGACTTTCCTATCTTGTACAGCACTCATCCATCCTCTGTCCCTGTCACAGCTTCCCTTCATTTCACCTTCCCTATGTAGTTATATTACCATTTTTAGACAAATCAACATGCAATATAATGACAATGTAACCATTCACAGCTGAGTCACATTATTGACTATATTTTGTTTCATGAACTTTTTCTTTCTCCTGATGTAAACAGTTGTCTCATATTTTTATTTCCTTGGGTTTTGTACCAAATATCTCCTCATTCCAATCTTAGAATGAATTCTCCTCTGAACATGGTCACACGTATTCAGTCAGTCTCATATTATTCTTAGAGACATCCCTTTTGGAGGCCTCTGCTCTGCTCTAATCTGGCTGTTCTCTATGGCCGCTGACGGTTGTTATCTTGGTATTTCTGTTCACCATCATTCTGGGAATTCCTTTCACTTTTCCCCTGTGTTGTAGTCCTTGTTTCCTGGATCCCATATCTTCCTCTTTCTTAGTTTACTTCTTCATTTCACTTCATACCCCCTCCAAAATGAAGGAGTAAACCAAGAAACTACTATACATTCTCTAGTAGTTTTCTGAAAAGGGATGTATGGGAGAGAAACTTTTAAGATCTTGCTTTTCTAAAAATGTCTTTATTGTCTCCTCATACTTGGCTGATAGTTTGGTTGAGTATAGAACTTTAGATTAGGAATCATTTCCTTAGAATTTTGAAGGCATTTTTCCATTGTCTTCTAACTTCCAGGGAAGCCAGTGGAAGGATCCTGTCCCTTTTACGTGACTTGTTTTTTTGTTTGTTTTTTGATCCCTGAAAACTTTTGAGATCTTCACATTAACCCTGGTGTTCAGAGTCCTCATGATAAAGTTACCTGAGTCTCTTTGTATTCAATGAACTGGCAGTGGGCCCTTTCAGTTCAGAATCTCATGTCCTTCAGTTCTAGGAAATGTTCTCTTACTATTTCTTTGATGATATCTTCTTTCCATTTCTTTGTACTCTCTTTCAGATGTTGGACTTCCTGGCTTGATAGTCTAGTTTTCTTGTCTATTTTCTTTCTCTTTCTATTTCTGACTTTTTGTGCTAATTAGGGATATTTTCTCAACTTTTTCTTTCAATCCTTCTGCTGATTACTTTTTTACTTTATTTTTGCCATTGTTTACTTCCATGAGCTCTTATTATCTGAATGTTCCTCTTTTTTTTGTTAACAGTATCTAGTTTTTATTTCAGAGACTCAATAACTTGTCTGAATATAATAATTACAGGGTTTTTTTTCTTTTCTTAGTTTTTTCCCCCGTTTCTTCTTTGTTCCTTTCTTTTGTTTATATTGTCTCTGCCTTTTATGTTAGAGACTTTCTGCAAATGTCAGTGATTCTTTGCTATCCAGTTATTATTACCATTAGTATTTTAAGAGTGAGACACTAAAAGCTGATTAGCAGCTCTATGTGCTCAGAGAGAGCTTGTCCACTGGTGGACTTTACCATCAGGCCATTTTGTGAAGCTCAAAAGAGTCAGTATCTATGGTTCTTTTCTCTTGGGCTGGTCAGTTTTCCTGGAGAAGAATCTTCCCTTTTTCTGCTTGAAAATTATATACTCTAGTTGTTAGTGTTTTGGGGAAAGGGAGCTGGAGTTTGCAGCTTTCAATGTGTCAACTTTTTAAAAATCCTCCTTTTAAGTGTGAGTCTCTCCTCCTTCTACTCTCCTCTCCACCACATCAGCTGTGCCTGGTGTACTTGAGTCTTGGAGCCCCGATGGCTCAACTGCTCCAGAGAGTAAATGTATCCTCTGTTTGAGAAGGCATATTTCCTTTGTCCTATGGGGTAGGGGAGATCAGGGTTAAAATTGCATTTTTATTATTTTTTTTATTATTATTTTTTTTGTGAGGAAGATCGGCCCTGAGCTAACATCTGCCAGCCCTCCTCTTTTTTTTTGCTGAGGAAGACTGGCCCTGGGCTAACATCCATGCCCATTTTCCTCTACTTTACATGGGATGCCGCCACAGCATGGCTTGACAAGCAGTGTGTTGGTGCGCGCCTGGGATCTGACCCGGCGAACCCGGGGCCGCTGCAGCAGAGCGCGCGCACTTAACTGCTTGCACCACTGGGCCAGCCCCTGAAACTGCATTTTTAAAAGACTTTCAAATAGTCGTCCTCTTTTCAGGCTCACCCACAATCCTGTTTTCAGAGGTACGCATTGCCTCTAATTCCTTTGTCTTTCCACAAATCTGTCATGAGAATTGATTTGCATCTTTTGGACTTAGATGCTTAGGTTTCAGCTTTCCCTGGCTGCCAAGTCAGTTCTCTTTTCCATTTCCAGGATTTCTTCTTTTGTATGCTTGCATATATTTTCCTAGTTTTGTGTGTGTGTATGTGTGTCTGCCTTTTTTCCTCTTTGCAATCATTGCTGTGGTGTTGAGGGAGGGGGTGGAGATACATGTTTTTATTCTTTCTTCCATGTTTAAACGACAGTCTGAGGGACAGTGTGAGATGGAGTCTCATTCGTTTTTTTTTTTCATTTAAAAAAATCAGTTTTATTGAGCTATAAAGGAGTCTCATTCTTTCAGCTACATGCATAAGAACATAATGGAGAGCATCATTTCCACTGAAAAGATATGGACACTGCCAGTTAGTGACCAGCCTGGTGATAAAGTCTGATTCAGTGTTAGTTAATGTTGCCCAAGAAGACCCAGAGGTGAGGAAATATAGGAGAGTGGAGAACAGCATGATGTTTGACATTCTTTGGTGATTCAAATTAAGTGTGTGACACATGAGGATACAGAAATAGGAAGGCAAGTCTCAGACTAACCAGTGTGAGGGCTTGAAGAAACAGTATGAATAAGCATGCCAACAAGCAGATTCTTTTCCTTTTAATTTTTTTCCCTCGAGTACTATCTTTATGCTGGGTGAAAAAGAGGATGAAGTTAAATAAGTAAATGTGTTGCTTCTGCTTTAGTACACTTCAGTTTAGAATTTATGATTTATAACTTGTCTACTTCAAAAGTATAAGAGGTAGTTTAATGCTTAAAAATACAAAATGGGCAATGGGCTGAATATCTTCTGTTTGCCCCTCCAGATATCTGCGATCTGCTGTCTGCCCTGAAGACTGCCTGGGACAGGCTACATCAGGTGAGCTCTTGTACCATCTGGCTTTCTGTTGGATCCAACCCAAGGAAAGCTGCAACAGGAGATCTAAGCAAGGAAGGAGAATGAACTCAGGGTATTTCTTCCCCTGACTCTCCTTGTGATATCTTCTCCAGCTTTCTCACCAAATTGACTGCTGTTCTCAAGGCACCAACTCTACATGACTCTCCCTACTGCCTACTCCTCTTTTCCTTTATCACGCAACTGGGATCCCCTCTTGCTCTGTAATTTTGGTGGGGAGACAGCTATGACTACACCTGAACTTCCAAACAAGAGGCATAATCTTGAAATGGAATAGTTTTAGACAAATGGGCTGTGCGCCTTTGGAACTGAAGCACCACAGGGTGCTGAGGCGAGTGGCTTCATTTCTCCGGCTTTCTGTTGCCTCAGGGCACATGGCTGAGGGATCTAGGTGGCCAATATGTGAATTTAGTGAGCGTCTTGATGACTTTTCTTTCACACCCTCATACCTAAAAAGTAAACTAATTGGATATGCTTCTAGTTTGCTGGCATTGGCTGAGTATTTATTATTTTGCAGAATGTTATACTGATTGATGTGGCAGGACTAAAAGAAGAAAAAGAAGTCTCTATTCTGGAGGATGTATCATATTCCAGTGAGGAAGTCTTGCCACCTATTTCTATATTCACCACCTTAGAGGCCTAGAGAGGAGGCTGAATCTACATTGATCCACACAAATTCTGTTGTATAGCCTGAGATTTTAACATGATGATAATGAAGCAAATACATCTGTGAATTGGTGTTTAGGCAAAGGCTTGGTAGAAATGTGAGACTATAACATATGATTGTGGTAAGGTAAGGTCCAAGGCAGCTTAAATGAGATCAATGGTAACATTGTTATGGACTCACAAATTATTTAAATCTATTTCCAAAGTTAGCCTGTGCCTTAAACACTATTTCATCTTCTCTTTCTAGGCTATTCAATATCATAGCTGGTTTTTTAAAAGTATTAATGTGTAAACAGTTTCCACAAAAATATTTGGTGATTATTAAACTCTAACAACAAACAAATCATTTAGGAGAAAATAAGTTAGCATTAAAACTTGTCATTTTCAGTCTGGAAATTGTGAGTTCAGGCACTGATGGAAATATTGCGTTTTAGAGGTGGTTTGTTTAAAGAAATACTGACAGGAATATACCAGGTGTCTGATATATTGTTTTTGCATGGTTAACTTGCCTGGTGATGGGGTAAGAGATTGTATTCATCCTGTCAATTTGTGAATATAAAACTCGATGGACCAGTTATGTAGGAGCTGTCCAACGGACGAGGGTTTTGAATGCAGATACCAAGTGCTGTAGGAAACGGGTGTGCTGAAAACGTGTTAATTGATGGACCTGCTAGTGTAAATGCATGGTGAGGGATGGTGATTACTGTACCCGTCATGTGCTGCGGAGGGAATAAAGGCTTAACTGTAACTGCAAAGGGAGGAGAAGATCCTACGCAGCGAAAGGCTGAAGAGAAAGCCATCTTTTGGTACACTAGTTAGCAAGAGAAGGGAGGCTTCTTTGTGCCTAAAGAACAAAGCACTATCTCTGTCAAGGCAAAAACTGCTGTTGGTCATATTGGTCAAAGCTCTGTTGAGGAATGTGTCAGATCACTCACGTCTTAAGCATCAGAGTTTAGCTACTCTATCCATAAACTCATCATTATCCCTGAGAAACCATGAGGAAGAAGCCGTTGCAAGTTCAGAAGAGCAAGTGACAGGAGACTAAATTTCATTAACAACACCCTGAGAGGAACCCGCCAGCCAAAGGGAACAGCAGGGAGAATCCCCACCACTTAACACAGAAAACGCTCATAACAGCTCTGCCTCTGCCACTGCCACATCTGCTGCAAAATAATCCATCAGGCTGGGAGCTGTAGGTGTGACTGAGGGGCAGCACCGAGATGATCTACAATTGTGAGAGGTTTACTGTTCATTCATTGCTTTATGGAAAAGCAGAAAACATATTTTTCAAACTAAATTTATCTGTTCTCTAAAAACAAATACCAAGTCTATGCACTTCAGTCACTATGGTCTTTAAACACCTAGAAGCTAGGAAAATAAGCACTCAAAAATATTGTTGAATGGATGAATGAATGAAATAGTGAGTAGGTTTGGTGAAATTTGGGGGACAGGAGAAGCTGAAGAGGCTGGGAGGTACAGAACCTTGTATGAGATGAGGTCAGCTAATCTGAAACCTCTGGGGGACAATCTATTATTTGCCGAGGGGAGGTCCTCTCCTCTTCTCTCCTCCCTCAAATTATCAAAGTAATAAAATTATTTATTAAGCACTCATATTCTAAGCCATTTAAATTTTTTCAAAGAAAAATTCTTATTCAGTTAATACTAATGTTAGATATATTTTTTCATTTCCTATTTTAGCTTTTTTATGCTTTCAAGCATAATGTTATATTTTGAGCCAAATGTCTTCTATTAAAATCTTATGGGGGGCCAGCCCGGTGGCACAAGCGGTTAAGTGCGCACGTTCCGCTGCGGCGGCCCGGGGTTTGCCGGTTCGGATCCCGGGTGCGCACCGACGCACCGCTTGTTAAGCCATGCTGTGG